TTAGATTACACACATTTATTCACACTATTTATAACTATTTAAACTGAACTCAAACTGGATGAGATATATGCAGTTATATAGTTTGCAACTAAAAATTAATATGATAAACACAAATTTTAGATTATTATAATATAAGATCATGTTTTACATATTTTATATTTATGTAGCATATTATTATTATTATTATTCAGTATTTTAAAGGATTGCTCTTTGATAATGAGTAATATGATCTATAGAAGAAAATTTGTTGTAATGTGATTTACGAAAGAGTAAAGTTTTTTTTTTAATAAGTTTATATGAACTTTTATTTATCTTTTGTCATTAAGACTTTTTGTCAAATCGTAGTGAATGGAAAATCTTTTTCATTGACTTCTTTTTAATCATTATCTATGCATATAACATTTGCTCTTTAATCGGTTAATGTGTGTATATATGTATATATATATATATATATATATATATATATATATATATATATATATATATATATATTTATATTTATATGAGGCGCCTGCGCATTAGAGTCTGTGGCGCTAATGAGCACCGACTGCTGTTTACCAACCGAAGAAGAAGAAGAAACAGGAAGAGGAGGCGCGGCCCTCGCAGCATCAGCTGACTCCTCGGCTGTTATTATTCTAAGCTCCTGCGGTTCGGTTCGGTTCGGTTCGGGCATCCGAACCAGCAGACCCAATCCCTCCCTCCTCTTCCTCAGCATGGCCTTCATCACCGCTAACTGGAACCCGCTGGGAGACGCCTTCTACCGGTCAGTACCCGGAACCTGACACCGAACCTGGTTCTACTGAGTCAGAAACAGCGGCTGGGTCAGAACCAGGTTTTACAGGGTCAGAACCAGCGGCTGGGTCAGAACCAGCTGCTGGATCAGAACCAGCGGCTGGGTCAGAACCAGCGGCTGGGTCAGAACCAGGTTTTACTGGGTCAGAACCAGCGGCTGGGTCAGAACCAGCTGCTGGATCAGAACCAGCTGCTGGATCAGAACCAGCGGCTGGGTCAGAACCAGCAGCTGGATCAGAACCAGCGGCTGGGTCAGAACCAGCGGCTGGGTCAGAACCAGGTTCTACTGGGTCAGCACCAGCTGCTGGGTCAGAACCAGGTTCTACTGGGTCAGTACCAGCCGGTTCTGTTGATCAGAGTTCTGTTCTGGTAGCTGAAACGTTTGGATCTCTGTTCTCTTTCCAGGAAGACAGAACTTTATGAGATGTTCTGGAGCCTTCGGGACGGACTGGGAGACAGCCTGGTGGCTGCAGCGCCCTATGGAGGTCCAATCGGTGGGTTCTGCTCCGGGTTCAGGTTCTGCTCTGGGTTCTGGTTCTGCTCTGGGTTCAGGTTCTGCTCCGGGTTCTGGTTCTGCTCCGGGTTCCTGGTCCAGGAAACATTCAGTCACCATGGCAACAGCTGGTTCCCTCCTTTGTCTGGTCCTCAGAACCTCTGGATGATTTGGACCCGTGAGACATGTCCCAGTCTGAAGGGACAGGTACCGTCCATCAGAGACGGGAGCTTTGAACCAATCAGAACCATTAGAAGCCATCAGAACCATTAGAACCAATCAGAACCATTAGAAGCAATCAGAACCATTAGAAGCAATCAGAACCATTAGAAGCAATCAGAACCATTAGAACCAATCAGAACCTGCTGTGGATCTCAGAACTAAATAGAAGCAGAAGCCGTTACCATGGCGATGCAGCCTAACACTCTGTGTTCTGCTTCCTGGTTCTGTTGGTGTCTCAGCTCTCCTCAGAGAACCTCTCAGACGTTCCACCAGTTCCCGTCCCCAGTTGGACATCTACTCGGCCTCAGGAGTGTCCATCACCAGCTTCCCTGTGAGTAACCTTGTCCTTCTGCCAGCAGCCAATCACAGCCCTGTCCTCTGATGACATCATCTGTCTCTCTCTCGCAGTGGAAGAGCGGTCCGGTGGTCCACCTGGGTTGGTCCGTCAATGACGAGCTCCTATGTGTTCAGGAGGACGGGACAGTCCTGATCTACGACCTGTTTGGGACATTCAAGAGACACTTCAGCATGGGACAGGTGGGTCCATTTAGGACAGGTGGGTCCATTTAGGAAAGGACAGGTGGGCCCATTTAGGACAGGTGGGTCCATTTAGGACAGGTGGGTCCATTTAGGACGGGACAGGTGGGTCCATTTAGGACAGGTGGGTCCATTTAGGACGGGACAGGGGGGTCCATTAAGGACAGGTGGGTCCATTTAGGACAGGTGGGTCCATTTAGGACGGGACAGGGGGGTCCATTAAGGACAGGTGGGTCCATTTAGGACGGGACAGGGGGGAC